TAGAGAGACGGGTCGTGAAAAGACTTCCAGTGCTATCAAGTGAAGGCAGGCGCTTAAAGCTTCCATGCACCACCTCTACGCACAACTTCATGCGTGTGTGAGATAGCGATTTACCTTCTTCTCTCGCGTGCAGCATTCGATTGGACTTCTTACAACTGCCTCACCGATAGATTTAAGATCGTTGCTTACTGTGGAACGGACGTGGTTGCTTTTCCTCTGGCATAGTCAATACATGTAGTTTCCACATAGAAGATCGATATCATGCTAGTATTTGACAAAAATCTAAATGACTGTTGGCGGAAATGCAAAAGATAAATGCGCTAGCCGATGTGACGCGGTCGCTACAGCGCGCGTACGCGCATTTAATAGCTTAAACGACGTACTCCTGTAAAATCATCTAATGATGTCAAATAATGACATCGCCCGCGTGCGTGTGTGACACACTTTGTGGTAGGTGCGCTATCACTGTGCTTCATTCGCAATAATAGTCTATGCGCAAGTGGTAGGCTTTACTCTGCTGTACCCCAACCACATAAAAGGCCTTAGGTCTTAGACTTTCCGTAGATTTCCGTACCTATACACGGGAATTCCGCTCTGATAAACATATTTTAAAGAAAAATATCTTGCCACGACTCTAAAGGCTTACTCACTTGTTTTAAGTGTATCTACAGCAAAAAGTCACTTTTCAAGTACCGTGCAATTATTCAAATCATGCTACTATAATAAACTTGTTATGCTGGTGGGTAGGTGAACTTCTGTAAGTAAGTAAACTATGACGTACTAGGAACTACCACGTTCGTCTAAGAACCACAATCGATTGGTGACGTGATAATAAAGAGGATTCTGCTATATGTAATACCTTAACAAATGTTTTTGCAAGATATGATACCAGGTATTCCAAAAAATGAAATGGATATAAATACAACGATCTGAAGCTATGTATGCAAAAATCTGAAGCTATTAATGCAAAGATCTGAAGCTATTTATGCAACGAGCTAATGCTATACATCTCGATCTGAAGCTATCATCACGATCGAGGGCTATAAAATATGACAGTGTTTTTCATCTCAAGCAATGCTAGAAAATCTAGATTGAAAAGATCTAAAGTGAATTATCTCGGAAACACCAGCGACGAGTACATGTTTATATGTTTGCCAAGCATACCGAAGCGGTTTCCACACGTTAAGCGCGACTCAAACTCGTCACATCCCTTGATCCACGTCAGAATATGCGCACGGATTTCGGACGCGGTGTTTGATGAATAATCTGCGTCACACTTTACTTGTTGGATGACAGGTCCTTCATATTTATCCAGTCATTTACTCTATGATTCATATACTACCAGTTCGAGTCCTCACTTGCAATTCGGCGGATACATTGATACGTCCACAGCTCTTCTAGCCACATGCAGTCGACTTCAGCGTTCACAAGCGGCTCAATGAGCACTTTAAAGACTACCGGAAGGTCCTTCACATCTCGTATGATGCAGATCTTTATCAACGCCATAAGCCGCTGTTATTTCCGTGCCGATGGCGACGCCGTGGCGCGTAATTGTGTCACTTGGAACAATAGAGAGTATCAATTCGGTGATCGATTGACTTTTCTTACTTGATCTAATCGTCCTTCTGTTCGTTGTCAATACAAGCTACGTGATCAAGCGTGAGGACTCAGAATCAGAATTAAGATATACCGTCTTCGGAGTCGGAGATGATTATTGTATTCGAGATACGTGTGGGGTGACACATCAGCTGTCACAACCTCAGCGGCCATGACACTATAAAGCCTCCGCTAGCTGCTAGTGCGTTGCCTTACGTCACTTCTAACCCAAAAATGAGCTCACACGTTATTCTGCAGCAGTAAGCGCCTCCCCTGTTTTCTCTAGCAGAAGTAAATGCGAATAGCGAGATGTGCCCTGCAAATGCTTGATCAAAGATAAAAAAATGTGCTTCAATCAGCAATCATTTAAATTCTTGTAATTTTATTGTGTTTCCTTTCATAAAATGTCATTTATCTCATCTTGTGTTTTTGTATCACATCTTACATAAAATCTTTTCAGTACACTTGTTGCGACTCACACCCTTTACGTCTTGTAGTTTGTTATCAAATTTATATCTATGTGCTGTACTCCATTTCACTTTCGCAATCGTGGTAAGGAAAAAGTATGATAGGAGAGTGCGTCGGTTAACAGATACATCGAAGATTGACAAGAAGGTTTACGGAATTTAAGTGCTGATTTGCACATACCCCAAAAAAAGGTGAGCATGCACCCAAGTTCGTAACGGGGAGCTCAATGCAGACATACTGACTGGTACGCAAGATGAGCACTGCATTATAGATATACAGAATCGGAGTACCCTCGATTTGAGCTGGCAAGTCCTACAATATGGTAAGTCGTAGCTCCCATAATATTCATATTGAAATTGAGGCTTCTTCGCAACTACGCATCGGCACGATAAGGTATTACACCCTCCATTGCTGGAAAAATGTAAAAATTAGCGGGAAGGGTAAAGGACAATCAACGGGTGAGATAGCGGGTAGAGCCGATCCCTTTACTCGATTACCTAGTAATTACAAATTGGAATGTCTAGGTCTGGCATGAGGACTTATAAGTAGCACTTGCAAAGTTCGAGCTTCTCCATAGTCACGAAGTCCGATGCGAAGTGCGCAACTGACTCCTGCTAATTTCATACCTCCTTAGCTCAAAAAGAAATGCATTAAATGTTAAAACGCACGACTTCGCGCGCGACTGCGTTCGGGACCCTATTTATTCATGAAAGGCTCCAACGGCAGCGGCGACGACAACGATGCCGGCATGTTAGGCAGTTCCCTCTTCCAAACAAAAAATCAAGCGACTAAGTCATGCCTTACTCAAGGAATTTGTTCGTAAATGAACTATGGCGACAGCGCCCTGTAAAAGAAAGCCTTAGTGTGCACTCGGTCGTTTCTAGTTCTCGGGTTGATCAGTTCGTCTGGATTGATAGCGCAATCAAGACCACGCATGATTTTAACGGCAGCTAAATTGCGTTGACTGCACCATCCCGCAGTGGCGCTGCGATGTTATATCCTACGCTCACAAATTTCAGGCCTGTGCTCCAGGAGGCCGTTCAGCGGACGTGTAAGAAAAATGTTGTAAGATGTCGTTGAAGGTATCATCGCTTTGCGCATGGCAGGCAGTATTAACCATAGGAAGTTTTTATGTCGAAGACGAACGAGAACTAGCCGCCGTCAACTCGGACAGATATGAGGCGGTTTGCCAAACTTCTACGCATCCTGGAGCCAGTGCTTGATAAAACCTCTATGATATGCCACTGTCCATATTACTGACGCTTGTCGTCTGGTCAGACAACATCCTGAAGGGCTTCTATTTCTCCACTGCGCACTGGGTAGATGAAGCTGATCCAAAGGTGAATGAGTGCTTGGCTGACAACTCTTGACGTCAAGTGCGGGACTGGCGTCGGCCAAAGAGCTAAGACGGCCCTGTTTAGTTACCTGAAAACTTCCAAGGCTATGATGTCGCCGTGACGTGCCTGCTCAACTTCTTCAGTGACAACGGATAGAACGCTACAGATGCTTTCAAGAGGTTGCATTACCTGACCAACGCGTTGAATAGCTAAGAGCATATGTGCAAGTCGGACCACGTACATTGCGCGGACAATATATTCCAGCTCGTTGTGATCAAGGTTCTAAACTTGATCCGGGATCGTCCCCCAGGAGGTGCTGCAAAAAGTGCTGCATAAACCACGCTGTACCGAGTTCATGCAGCACATTCGAGTCGAGTCCTCGGTAGATGGACTTTACAGCCGGGATCCTACGCATTATGACTCGCCGACGCGCTGAAACTTATTGAACGACATATGCGCCAAAACGCTTCTGGCAAGCGGGTCGTTCAAGACAGTATTATGAAGCATTCTATGGATGATCTTAGTCGTGGCGCTCTCCTAGAGGCTAGATGGCAGGCATTTAATGATGTCGTCGCTCCTAGAAGCTCCGCGCCAGGTCATGGAGCGTCTTCCGGCAGATCACAACTTGATTTTTGACCGGTGACAACTTCAATTTCTCTGCTATTTAATCACTGCAAAAATAGCAAAGAAGACGTGCTTGAGTACTAGGGTAATCGATGAAGGTCGACATGAAAGAGAAGATCAAACTAGTACAAGAGAAAGATAAGGCTAGAAACGGCAACTATCTAAGCGTTCCTGAACCCTCAATGTACGCGACACCCTTTTGTTTGGGTGCCACGAAACTCCACGTACACTAGCACGTGCAGAGGAAGCTAGTTTACTCAACGGCTAAGCTTTGTAAAGGGTAAAAAAAAAACTGTATTTAATATAGTTAAGCTATCAATAAAACTTTACTCTTTATCTAACTGTAATAAACTACGTCGTCGTAAAACGACAACCTGCTAACCACTCATTGCGCGCGTCTAGCAGCGATTGGTAGTAACCAATGGTTGATATGTCTTTAATAAACCAAATTTTGAGCAGCGCATGATTATTATCCTGAAAGGGGATAAAACTCCTTTAATCTTTTCTAAGAGGGGATAGTGTTCCTTGAATATTATCCATCTTGGATAATATTGTAGGGAATGGTCAAGCTAGACATTATCCATATTGACACCGTTTTGTGTCAATATCATGTAATAGGCTACCTCGTCACATAACCCCCCCTTAACTTTCAATCACCTGTTGATTAGATTAGAATTGATTGGGACAGGGTGATTACCGTTAGATCACTCTGGGAAAGGGAGCACTTGTCGGTCAAATTCCATTCATTTGCCAATCCAACACATGGTTTCGAAACCCATGCAAGTTTCTACTGCAGCAGCAAGAAGGGCGGCTGTACGCATGTGTGCAGACAGAGACAGTTCATCTCGCGCCTCAGCAGTATGTGATTCGTCGCCTGTTGTTTTTAACAGTCCACGTGGTGAGTCAACACGTGCGACAGGTACATCCTCTGCATCTGCAGCGGATATCGCGAATCGTAATATAGACGAGTCTGACATGGAGCTCATCTATTCTGGCGAGTCGGATGATGTATCCGACTCGAAGGCGACACATCACGCCTCCGGATCACTTGGGACGGACACTGCAAGAGATAGGTTGGCTGGCTCTGGTCAACGCGGCGGTATCATGTCCGAGATCTTCGGATCGAACGATCGTTCCGACGAATCCTCGCCTCACGCAAGTCCATCCAACGATAGGACGCGTGGGTATGGTGGTGATGCACCTATACATCACCACGAGCGGAGTAACTCAAGGGATCGGGGTAACACTGGTGCCAGTGCTCATGCTGGAACCACTCAAGAGGCCAGGGAACGAAATGTCCTGCGCCACGCTCTTCAAGTGGAGTCTCCGTGGATGCCGCTATCCAAAGAGTTGGATCGGTTGGACGGCATAACTAACGATCGGGATCGAATTCCGTTGTTCGACTGTAGGAGGATCTGTCCTCCTGATTCCAGCACGGGAACTATCCGTGCTGAGGAAGAATTCTTTACCAATGCACCTTCAAACATCGGTGGTACAACGGCAACCACGTTCGAGACAGTGAAGCCTTGGTGCAAGGATGGAATGCCTTCATCCACAACATCGAGTGCATTGGCCGTGAGGCCTGGCTCGGTGAAGTTGATGCAGCTCGCTTCAGGTTTAAGAAGCATCACCCAGTCGGTGTACGTTAAACGTTGCAACGACTGTCAAGAGAGGCAAGGTTACTCTGTCTCTCGTGGGATGATTCGTGTCTAGGTTGCCTGGACAAATCAAATCGTGCCCCTAGGGAGGCCTCCCTCCCTAATGATCCCTACTGGAGGGCGCACATCTCTTCTGAAATTGCTGAAGGGATTGACACTGTGCAGTCCCTGTACTCGCGTTTAGGGAGGTCGTTTTCCGACGGCCCTTCTTATAGCGCAGCGGGTGGGTCTCGTCAAACAGCTCGACGAGACCATGAACATAAACAATCCGCTGGGCACGAGGCTCCCAGCTGTCCCACGCCTGTGAATGGCTACGCCAGCGGACGAGGTAACTCGTCCAGACGCCATTCACATCGCGGTGGTTCAAAATACGCTCCACTAGAAAGCGTTCACCACCGCTTGAGTCCACCAAAGGATGTGGCGGCGGCGGGAGCACCTGATCCGGCTCTAGGGTTGGATCAGCTTGATGTTCAGGAGCTGAACCGTGTAGCGGAACAGTTGCAAGACGACCTGGATCATGAACGGACTCGGCGTTATGATCTTTAGGATCTTGTGAGGGATTTTTACAATTCCTTAGCGCACGATTATTTGGACGATCGTGCCGCGTTTGCGTTCGCACAGCTTAAGAACTAACGTTCGACTCGTTCTCTTCGTGACGAGATGCAGTCAGCTCGTCGAGACATCGCTCAACTGCGTGAGCAGGTCTCTTCGCTAGTCGACCAGACTGGCTCGTTGAAACGGGACCGCTCGAAGGTGGTCTCGACTCTCGGTCTTATAGGTGTTATTTGCATCTCGAAACGGGCTCGTACTGATAGTACGGTCGGAGACGACCAACGCAAAACGTAGGATGCGTACGCATCTTAAGTGGCAGTTTAATCGTGTATGCGTTACCCATTCGTCGCAACACACGAAATGGACCGATGTACCTGGGCTTTAATTTACTGCTGCCCAACTGTGTCACTGCGTGTTTCGGTTTATTTACTGTAGACCGTAAAACTAAATCTCCTTCATCAAATGAAAGAAAGTTTGCTCTTCCATGTTTGTCTGCATTTTGTTTCTGTCTACCTAACGCATCTGCAATAGAATCTTGAGCGAAGCGGACACCCGCTACGCGAGTCAGCAGAAATTCCTCTGCTGATTAATCCTTGTCAACAGCAGTGCGCTTCGTTTGCACTGCTAAAAGAACGTTGTCTCCACCAGTTAAGGTATCATCGTCCTCACTTTGGCGGTAATTGGCGATGCTAAATATGCCAGCATCGTCGTCGTCGTCATCGTCATCATCGACATCGATCCCATCGACATCGGCATCCATCACGTCGACACCATTATCGACGGGTGATGAGCAAGAATCAGATCGTTTTTTGTTCGAGCGAGTCTACCCCCCTTAAACTAGAGTCACACTCTAAGAAGGCGGGTAAACGTGGATGACTGAGGCCATTCACGAAGAACGGTGTATGCGTTGTCGACGCATGCACCGAGTTGTTGATGACAAATTCCGCCATGGGAAAGAACTCACTCCAACTCGTAAACGATTGGACGTACCCTCGAAGTATCTCTTCGAGGACGCGGTTGAGGCGTTCTGTATGACCATCTGTTTCAGGATGGTCAGAAGTTGTCATCTACAAACGTGTTTTAAGTGAACGGAACACGGATTGCCAGAACTCCGCTGTGAAGCGGGGGTACCTGTCAGACACGAGTTCACGTGGTTACCCGTGAAGTCGGAAGATAGTATTGATGAAGACACGCGCACAGCCCTGGTCTGTTATTGACTCCGGTACAGCAACAAGATGTACCATCTTGCCGAGCCAATTAAAAAACACAAGAATACCAGTATTCTTGTGAATGTCTTTTAGGAAACCCAAAGACGAAGTCCATCGATACGGACTGCCAAGACTCCGCCGGAATTGGTAGAAGCTGCAAGGGTGCGCGGAATGAAGGACTAGGCTTCACCCGTTGACAAACTTCGCAAGCGCGAATATATTTGTGCACAAACTCATACTGGCGGGGCCAGTAGAAGTCAAGACTCACCGTGAGGTAAGTCTTTTCTCTACCGCGATGCCCACTTGTTGGGGCATCGTGACACTCATACATGATGCGCAATCGCAAATTATTATGAGCGGGAACGACGACACGAGGTGTGTCGCCGTTGGCTGCTGTATAGTACAGCAGTCCATAACGAACCGAATACCGTTTGGTTGAAGAGCGGTATTGAGACGACAAGCTTTTCAAAGCTAGAATGCATGGATTGGACACGTAATACATCAACCTCAGAAGTGACCCATCTACTGTGTATGCGTTTCGCACATCGTCAAGCAGATTCGACGACGGAACACTCACTGTTAGTGTTGCTACAGTGGGATCATCCCGATTGTTGGGTTGAGCAGTCGGCTCGAAATCGGGCAGACGTAGAAGTTGTACTCCGCGAAGAAAGACAGCCACCTCGCCATTCGTTGCAAGAGGTGTGGACTGTTTACGGCCATGTGTAACGACGCATGGTCGGTATAAACGATGAAGGGCTATCTCCTAAGAGATATGCCCGAAACTTAGCCAAAGCATATTTCATGACAAGGAGTTCCTTTTCATGCACCAGGTATTACGCTCAGCTGCGTGCAGCTGACGCGATTGATGACAGACGACGCGCTCAACGCCGTCTGAGTTGTACTGCATTAACGCTCAGCCGATTGCGAAATCCCTGGCGTCACAGACCACATGGAATGGTCTGTCCTGGTCTGCAACCGCCAACACAGGCGATTGTATCAAGCTTTTCTTGATACCTTTAAAGGAGTGCTGACACTCAGCACTCCATGACCACCTCTTGTTTTTCTTTAGCAGACGAGAGAGATGTACGGTCATCTCGGCGTAGTTGCGCGAGTACTTGTGCAAGTACGCCGCTAAACCAAGAAACATTCGAGTCCCTTGACGTCGACTGGCACAGGCCAGTCACTAATCACCTTGATCGTTTCCGGATCAGGTCGAAAACACCAACTTTACCCACGATTCAGCTAATAAGTGGTATTTCGTTCACTGTGAATATACACTTCCTGAGGTTCACGAACAGCTTATGCTCTCGAATTAATGTAAGAACCTTCCGGGCGTGGATTCTATGAACATCCACGTCTGTCTTTCCATCCATAGCCCGGCTGTGTACGAAGACATCGTCAAAGTGACTCGGTGCGAAATCGCGCACCGATCGCAACAGATTCGTAACACATCTGTCAAACGTTGCGGGGGCGTTACTTAGCCCCTGTGGCATCACTAGCCAACCCAGAGCATACCGCTGGGAGTGCTCACAGCTGTGTACGGGATGTCCCGTTTACGCATGAGGATCTGATAGAATCCATCCATCTGATCCATGGACGAAAATATGGTACTTTTTGCCATACCATCTATGATGGCGTCCTTCCTTTGGATATACAATTAAGATAGTAAGTTGTAGCATTCAGTTTGTTGAATGCGTGCACTATCCGTCACCCTCCTGTGGCCTTTCGCACCTAGAAGGTCGGAGAGCTGTGTTAAGATGTTGATTCCCTCACATGACCAGCCGCTGATCGATCGGCGGTCAATCACTATGACCTGTTTGCGAGATAGTGGCCACTGCTTCATGAAACAGTTCTTCGAACCGGTTTTCAGTTCGATCTCCTGCCGAGTGCCTTTATCCTTAGGCAACTCGCATGGTACGGATTCAGGGAATCATCCTTCAATTTAACCAAATCCTTATACAAAGGATTTGTCTTTAAAGACTCCCAATATTGAGACGTGTATCGCTTAAATCGGGTCTTCTTGTAGAGTACACTCTCGTCAATCGAAGAGCTACTGAGAACCCGTTCGTTCTCAGTAAACTCTTGTGCCGACCAAATACCGGCGACGTACTCGTCCTCTGTGACAGGTACGCAGATCTGCTTGATCTTGTCACTAAGCAAATCTCGCAAGAATCTCTAAGATTCTAGCGTTGGCAACTTGATTACCTCCGAAGCTGACTTATAGTTGTAACCAGATCAAGTGAATAAGCGCCTACACATGATCCGTCATTCACCAAGATATTCACTGTCTCGGTGATTCCCTGAAAAAAAACACCCGCGAAGGTTGGGGATCCACACCCTCAACAAAACTCTCTCGGGAGTTACCGCTCTCAGGAACGCTGGATTTTTCTTCCGTTACGTGTACTGACTGTGGGTGTAGTACCACAGTCACATCTTCTTTGATCGACTCTCTGGTAGTCGATCTCGTTTCAACGTGTTGTTCATCCTGAACAACACTGGTCTCGCTTCTAGAATGCATCATTCTTGGTGTGCATCCGTGTTCCAGTCCACTCTATCTCTTCGAGTGGTGAACCTTCGGCGCAGCCTGTGTCTCTACACAGATGTCGGAAGCTGGTTCCACAGTGTAGTGGCCTCCTACACTGTGATCTTGTGCAGTCATACTAACAACCGTACCACAATTGAGGCCATCGCACTCACTCGTAGTCATCCAAACGGTTGTAAACGTTCCAACACGTTCATCAGATGGCCATCCGATGAACAAACGGCAGGCATCTTCACGTATCGATGCTGCCAGACAAGCCGTGACTAGTACTTTCTAAGCCATGTCAGACCAAGGATGACATCAAATTTGTCATCGAATCCAGTACGATAAAGTCATCATCGTACTGCTTTCGTTCTAGCACGTAGTGGATTCCCACTACACGTTTGTTCACTGTTACGATTGCGCCTGTAGCAAGGCACACCGTCACACTCGTTGGAGGGAATTCTCGCTCAACATAGGTGAGACTACTATCCTCTAGCGACTGGCATCGAAAAAAACAGTTCGACGACCCACAGTCAACTAGGGCGAGAAGTGACATTCCACTTGTCACTTCGATCTTCAAAGTGATGAGGGACTCCTCATCACTAGGGGAAGTAACACACAGCGACTGTGTGTTGGGAGCAATCTTCGTCAAGAGTCCTGCAAATTCTCTTGACGTTGTTGCAGGGTGCTCCGCCCCTACTGACCCTGTCCGTTTTTTGACGGTCAGAATTGCTGTCGCGACTTAGCGACATGGTCGGACCCACGCCTTGGACCTTTCCTTGGCCAACGGTGGTCATCACGTTCAGTCTTTGGACGTGTTGCGATGCTCGGGACACTACACTCATGAGCGTAGTGTCCAATCTTCCGACAGCGATGGCATCTTGCCTTATGCTTGTGACTCAGGGATCGAGAGTTCTCGCCCTCGATGTAACAGAGGTCCATCGGTTCGGGACCTCCTGTTTCCTGTAGCCTCGTCGGACGATATATTGACGAGTTAGCCTGTGTAACGGGGCTAGAACAACCCGTACTTAGCTTACTTTATTCTACGCTCTGAGGAAGCATCAAAGCCCAAGTCTTTGGTATTTAGTACTTTTAACTCTGTTTTACATTTTGTCTTCTAATCATCCTAAGTACGAATGGTTCCCTCGGACTCATGGGAGCCACTCAATCTACGTGCCTATATCTTACTGGCTAATTATAGTACTGAGCCCATTAAACCAGCTAAACTATATGATGTGCTACTTTCGCTACTTCGAAAGTAACACCCCTACTTATGTAAAATGTAAACTTAATCGAAACTACCTATGTAACGGGGTGGCCCATTACAGCCTGAGAATGTCTCAGGCTGAAGTCTTCTTGTTCCGCATACGCTATCGCCAGTTTTAGCGTATGGAAGTCCTCTTAAAGCATGTAGGTCTTCACCGGACCATCCACAAGGCCGAAGATTAAAACGTTGTTGAGCGTGTGCTCATCAACAGGGTTTTCCGTGACGCTACTCGCAAGGTAGCGCAGGTGCTGTACGTAATCGTGCATGTCACGCTTACCTTGCTTTAGCCTCAAGAGTGCAGAGCGTTCTCTGAAGTCGGCTCTCGGCGGCTCAAACGTCTCTTTATGACGAGGCTTCAAGATCTCCAACGACTTAAACACGTTTGGATCGTGAAGCTTGAGCCCTAAGTCCCAAGTCTTTGCTCGTCCAGTCAAATTAGACAGGGCGAAGGTGACTTGCACGTCGTCACCCTCGATGTGACGGGCCCTGATGGCGTCGTCTAACTCGACGAACCACCTCAAAAGGGAATCTCATCGGTTCCCTTGTACCTTGAGATATCAATCTTCAAGGTTTCGGGTCGACGCATGTGCGTCGGCCCGCCCATCGACTGATGAGGGCCTTGCTGCTGTAGCAAAACTATCTTCTGTCTTTAGACGGCAAGTTTCCCTTGTAGGAACTTGTTGATAGCAGCATGTTGCTGGTCTATGCTTAGAGACCCCAACATATCAATAATGGCGGGTTCGCCCATAAGCATACTCATGCGGCCGACTACCTCCCATTCCGAGTCACTTAGATGGGAGTAGCCTTCACGTGTGACGTGAAAGCTGTCGTCTTCTACGTCCGACATGTTCATGTTGAACGGACACTAGGTACTTGTTGGACGGACTACGAAGTGCTGCCAGGCGTATCGAGGCACCCTTTGTTTGGGGTGCCACAAAACTTCACGTACACTTACTATTACGTGCAGAGGAAGCTAATCTACTTAACGACTATGTTGAGTAAAGGGTAAAAAGAGAACTGTATTTAATATAGTTGAGCTATCATTAGAACTTTACTCTTTATCTAACTTTATTCAACTACGTCGTTGAATGACGACAACCTGCCCACCACTCATTGCGCGCGCCCAGCAGCGATTGGTGGCAATCTATGCTTGGTGTGTCGTACATCAACCAATCTTTGAGCAGCACATGATTATCATCCTACAAAGGGGATAATACTCCTTCGACATATTCAATCTCAGATAGTGTTGGAATATTGTCATGCTAGACTGTGTCCCTATTTACACCGTTTAGTGTCAATATCATGTAACGAGCTACCCCGTTACACTCAAGTACCAAACCCGACAAAATATGTGGAGCACACGCACGTGGTGTATCCTATTCACACTACGCTGCAACGCCGCTATGCCGCCGAGCTCAACTCGAGCCAAAAATACAGAACGATTTGCAAAAGTCCTTCACCATTGGATTCCACAGTTCATCCTTTTCGCTATGAAACCCCACGGGCGATGAGATCGACAAACATTGGTCAATCGGCGCTTTGAAGTCTACTGGGATCATTAATGGATGGTTAGGTTGGGAGGACTGTAAAGCATCGCTAGAATTCCTCCAACAAAAGTAAAAAGGACTACTGCGGGAAGCTGGAGACACCGACACAATCTGAGCGCGTCAACAGCTTTGCCAGGCACATATGCGTGCACTTAAAAGTCATTGTCGTCGCTCTTGTTTATCATGATTATGTGACTGCGTTCGAGGATATGCGCCGGTGTCCTTAAAAGTACCGGTAAATCGAGCGCAATCGGCAGCCGCAATTGTGCAGTCCGGCGTCAATGACGTCCAATTTGTCGTCCAGCAGCTCGAGGTGTGACAAAAAAGGGACGAGAAAATTTATTGATGGGTACTGCAGCGGAGCTACTTAGCCCCTTAAAAGAGGAAGTCCTGGACTTAAAAAGTCTTTAAGTCACTACAAACTTACAACGACGTGCAGTCGTTCAAGCGTACAAGCTTAACAATCTCGGTCCCAAAGTGATCACGATCGACGGACTCACACAATAACTAGAGAGTACTAGTTAAACAAAGTAATCGAATTTACGAGGCTAGTGCTCTTTTAGCAACACGAAACGCCTTGACTAGGCTCTTGTGTCCAACGGTTCAAAGTGGGAAATGAACTTTATCGATTCTTTAACTACGGTAGTAAATCATAAAACCTTGTCGGACTGAATTTTACAGGGCCCTCCCATGACAAAAGTCTTGTCCCTCACCCCTAACCGATCAGGTGTGGTATTACCGTAAGTACGTGGTACCAAGACTGTGCCACTCAGATCCATCGATCTATACTTGGTGTGGCACACAACATAACCGGTTCAATAACCGTCGTGTCACCCCGTTACAGGTGTAGTCAGTTGCTGCACTACAAATTTTACTGATGTGGTATTTGAGACCGAATCCGAGCCCTGATAAAACACTGCTGGAGTGCATTGCGCTCGCTTTACCATGTGGCATTTAACTTGATCCCGCACCATTCCACCCACTCAAACTTTTTTGACAGGCCGGCGATGGATCTTCACATCACGATTACAGCTGCAGCGCCACCAATTCCATTAATCATTCCAACTCTTGTGTACCGGGTAATTTCCCAGCTAAAGGGGCAAAGTAAGGTAAATGCCACAGAACAACGCGTTAAAAAAATGTAGTGGTTCGTTAAATATTGAACAAAAACTATAACTTATAAATATTCAGCCTTACCTTGCCGAGTCCTACCCACAAGTTCATTGCCAAATACTTCGGCATTCTACATGATCTCTATCAGGCATCATTATGCATCGACTGTCGCCTCTGTTTGATTTACAGATTGTACAATTGTTCTCACCAGATCCTTCTATACCACCACTATTAAAACCCGCAGCTTGCCGCACTATAAAAAGATTGGTACTCGCCGATGGTGTCACACGCGCAAGCTGAGCTTTCCACAATCGAGAGCAGAACTATGGATCAGACTTTGTAGCTGTCGTTGGGATGGACAGCAGACTGTCGCAACAAGATCAGGCTCTTAGTGACCGCGACATTCTCAGAAACTGAAGAATCTATTTCAGGATCGATTCACTATCAGATCAAGATCCTGGTCGCCGTCGACGGAAGACAGCGTGCCTTCCGCTCGTCGACTACTGCGAAAGGCAAGAGCGGAGGGCCTGATGATGGTCAGGACGTCTGTCTTTTACCGAGCCGCACTAAAAGGTGTAATACATTGCGACGCCGGGCAACTAGAAATGCCAAGACGGGGGCATTGCAGGGATCCACCGTTTTGTAACGCATTTTGAATATGACAACCAGAATAATAATGTTTACTAGACCATAATGTACTTTTCAACTGGCGCGAGAATGCTTGGATTTTGCCAATCAGTGTTGCTTCTGCTCATTTGGTTAGACAATGCATTTTAAAATCCTCTCGTACGCAAAATGGTGTCGAGTCGGATTGATCTTTACCGTCGATTTACAAAGCACCTACATAAGCTGTCCTTTCTCACCTGTATCCATTTCTTTCTGAAGCCTTTTTTTCATCGAAAACTAACGATGGTAAACGAGAATCCCGTATGGTTTCTGTCAGATAAAGCAACCCAAACCTTTCACATGCAAATAGACGTGCGACGGTGCCATCATGCAAATGACGACAACAGTACGAGATCACATCGTCACGGTACAGCAGAGCTTTCAACCGGATCCAAAAAGTCAAATTCATTCTGTCTGTTAGTGTGCTTGAACACACAAATGACCTGTAAATGGTCGTTTCACTTGGCTATCTATCGGACATGTCAACATCGGTTAATTGAGGCTTGCCGCACATGCATTAACGAGTTCGGAGTGGACACCTTATCGTTTCGGCAACAGATGAGGCCACATGGCCACCACTGTGGCAGATATACTGAAATGGTTAGAAATAGGATAAGACTCCACCATTTCGATTTGCATCGTCCCGGAAGGTATAAATGGGTTGAATGCAGAACAGGTATAAACATTCAACATCTCCCGAACTCTTATCCAACCATGACTACTTCCACCTCACACTCAGACAACTATCTGAACTCCTTGCATCTAATCCTCAAGCAGGCACTCAATCAAGCGACTTTGTGGTCGTGCGCGCATTTTTCAAAGCCCAGCGTTGTGCAGTCTTCCATCGCAACATCGTTTTCGTCATTAACAACATCTCATTTAATCTTGCTCTCCCTTCCGTCTCTATCTGCAGCGAAATCTTTCCGTCCTTCCCACGTTGTCAAAATCGAAATGCACCACTACGAGGCAGTATTACTATGCTATGCATCATCCAATGATTCATAGAGCACCGCATGATCGCCACTGCTACGACGAGAAGAAGCAAAATTATTCATTAGATCTCCCCTGTTGTGCCAAAGCAGCTTTTTATAAACCTTTTCGCACACGTGATCCGACGCAAAGACAAATCCGTCCTTGGAAAAGTCGTCGTTGACACGATAGTGCAGCAGCAGAAAAATCAAATTCTCAATTCCGCCCGATTCGTCTCTCGCCTCGACTAACGAATTCAAGCTGAAATCATTTATCGACATGTCGAAAAAACATTGTTGATCACAATCTTCAGCGTCGCACAAGACATAGCGTGCATTGTCGCCCCACCGACGATAGCGTTCCTCCACAGTGTCTTCTGTCGTGCCCGATAATATCAGCTCACGACAGTCGAAGATCTCCTGCTTCGTCCAAACTGGCATGTAAAACCTCGCGCAATCTCCCTTGTAAAACTCATACCAAACAGACCCGCACGGCGACGAGAATTGTCTTCGCTTCACATTGTGCTGGCTTGACGTCATCCACAACGTAAAACGTATTTGGCTGCTCAAGAACGTCATCAAAATCCGACCCCAATCCATCAATCACCAGATCATTAGAGAATAGGTAGCGCCCACTGGCTCTGTACTTCTCATACACCACCGTCGCTCCACGGCGTGCAAGACACAACAGAACGAAGAACCCGAAATGTGTTTTGCCGATTCCTTCGTTGCCCAGAATTATCACACGTCGTGAGGCATTTTTTCCACCGTGAAAAGTATCCGAACAAGCTTCCCATAGCTGCAAATAGCAATGACGAACGTACACAATAGAACTGATACCCAGGTAATCAAAATAATTCGTTTCTTCTGGCAGCGCGATCGCATCATTAGCAACGATCTTGGTAGACGTCGCTTTTATCGCGTTCCAAAACGCAACCAGTGGTGCGGGATTCACTCTCATGTATTGCGTGACGCCGACAGTGACACAGCCTACAGGTGGCCAGCATCTCTTTGAAACCACCACCAGGACGTGAACAAGAGGATTTGCCGTACTTTGAGTTTGCACGTCCTGCTCCGACAAACCGCACGAGCTCAGTCGCGCTGTTATAGTGTTCAGCCGGTGCAACTCCTTAGTTTCAGTAACGCCCTGCTGCACCACTTCTTCCGTCATCCACGCACCATGACCACCATCTCTTTTCGTCAGAAAGAGCTGCATGTCAATGACATCGCAGTGGATCATACTTGGTTTTTCTGCCTTGATCGTATTCTTCAAGTGACCTAGCGATCGATTCGTATCGATGCGTACGGAGAAAATACTTTGAGGACCACCTACGATTGCATAAAACAAAGTAACGTGTCCCATCTTTCTGCGTTGATGCAGATGCTAGAATGAGCACGAGGTCGGGAATCAAAAAAAATAGACATATTTGTCTATCTTTTATTAATCCCTGACCTTGTGTTCATTTTGGCATCTATTGAGATGGATATCGACTCGATGAGATACGACGTATGCTTTCTTTGTGACAGAGACGGGAAGAATTCTGCGAATCTTTCTCAGTGCTTAAATCCTTAACTACAGTTTAATTTGAATCCGATACAGGTAGACGCATGATTGACGTGTAAAGAATCGAATCTGCCCTTAAAGTTCGGTGCAGTTGAAACGCAAACTTGTTCAAACTATTCTCGATAAAGAGGTTTGTATACGCTCTTCTCCCCCCGCTCTGCGTGTCTTGACGTTTTGATAGCTATGCCTTTTTTGGATGGAGTTTGATGCAAAGGTTTGTTGCTCCATTAATTAGTCAATTGGATGACCGTGAACATGCAAGATCGACTCAACGACAAGCAGCAGTATAGGGCGCGAACTAAGGTAAGCTCGATCATTTCTTGCCTGTGCAAGAGCAAAATTTTACCAATTAATACGACGGTAGGCGCCAAAAGTGACAAACACTCGCTCTTATTGAGCTTTTAGTGTTCCAGACTTGTTCAAACAAAGTATGGTGTAGTGGATATGCATTTGTGCCGCAAAAAAAGAACAAAGTTTCATGTAACGCTCGTCTGGTGGATCCGTTTCAAACGTCACAAACTGCTGGATAAGGTGCCATAGATATCGATGCGACGGACCTCTTAAGAGGTTTTGCCTCCAGCCTGCACTGCGTGTATGTTATGATGCTTGCAATAAGAATATACGTTTTGTGAAGGCTTGTTAAATTTGGACGGCTTATTTGAGTTGTTAAATGCGATTCTAAAACAGCACAGCATCGTTCGTTGTAAGCACATCTCAGACAGAGTGTAACGAAATAGCCCGTTGCCTGATTTTGACACCAAACGGTGTTGTCTAGCATGACAATATTCCAACACTATCTGAGATTGAATATGTAAAAAAACATAGATATTGTCTAGCATGGCAATATCCCAATGTTATCCGAGATTGAAAATGTCGAAGGAGTATTATCCCCTTTGTAGGATGATATTCATTCGCTGCTCCAAGATTGGTTGATGTACGACACATCAACCATAGATTGTCACCAATCGCTGCTGGGCGGCGCAATGAGTGGTGAGCAGGTTGTCGTCATTCAACGACGTAGTTGAATAAAGTTAGATAAAGAGTAAAGTTCTAATGATAGCTTAACTATATTAAATACAGTTCTCTTTTTACCCTTTACTCAACATAGTCGTTAAGTAGATTAGCTTCCTCTGCACGTAATAGTAAGTGTACGTGAAGTTTTGTGGCACCCCAAACAAAGGGTGCCTCGATACGCCTGGCAGCACTTCGTAGTCCGTCCAACAAGTACCTAGTGTCCGTTCAACATGAACATGTCGGACGTAGAAGACGACAGCTTTCACGTCACACGTGAAGGCTACTCCCATCTAAGTGACTCGGAATGGGAGGTAGTCGGCCGCATGAGTATGCTTATGGGCGAACCCGCCATTATTGATATGTTGGGGTCTCTAAGCATAGACCAGCAACATGCTGCTATCAACAAGTTCCTACAAGGGAAACTTGCCGTCTAAAGACAGAAGATAGTTTTGCTACAGCAGCAAGGCCCTCATCAGTCGATGGGCGGGCCGACGCACATGCGTCGACCCGAAACCTTGAAGATTGATATCTCAAGGTACAAGGGAACCGATGAGATTCCCTTTTGAGGTGGTTCGTCGAGTTAGACGACGCCATCAGGGCCCGTCACATCGAGGGTGACGACGTGCAAGTCACCTTCGCCCTGTCTAATTTGACTGGACGAGCAAAGACTTGGGACTTAGGGCTCAAGCTTCACGACCCAAACGTGTTTAAGTCGTTGGAGATCTTGAAGCCTCGTCATAAAGAGACGTTTGAGCCGCCGAGAGCCGACTTCAGAGAACGCTCTGCACTCTTGAGGCTAAAGCAAGGTAAGCGTGACATGCACGATTACGTACAGCACCTGCGCTACCTTGCGAGTAGCGTCACGGAAAACCCTGTTGATGAGCACACGCTCAACAACGTTTTAATCTTCGGCCTTGTGGATGGTCCGGTGAAGACCTACATGCTTTAAGAGGACTTCCATACGCTAAAACTGGCGATAGCGTATGCGGAACAAGAAGACTTCAGCCTGAGACATTCTCAGGCTGTAATGGGCCACCCCGTTACATAGGTAGTTTCGATTAAGTTTACATTTTACATAAGTAGGGGTGTTACTTTCGAAGTAGCGAAAGTAGCACATCATATAGTTTAGCTGGTTTAATGGGCTCAGTACTATAATTAGCCAGTAAGATATAGGCACGTAGATTGAGTGGCTCCCATGAGTCCGAGGGAACCATTCGTACTTAGGATGATTCGAAGACAAAATGTAAAACAGAGTTAAAAGTACTTAATACCTAAGACTTGGGCTTTAGGGCCTTCTCAAAGCGTAGAATAAAGTAAGCTAAGTACGGGTTGTTCTAGCCCCGTTACACCTGGTAGCACTTTGTAGTCCTATATATGCCCGCGTTTGGGATGAGAAATTCGTCGCACTTTGATGTTGCAGACGTAAGTTTGGAGCACGTGACTTTTTCCCATCTCACTGGTGTTAAGTGAGATGCCCTAAGTCGCCTCGCAGCGATATCTGGAGAGGCATTTGTTGTGTCGCTGATGAAATCAGCGTCCCCGGATGGACAGCGTCTCGCCATACACGACTACATGGCTCGCGAGCTCGCCGAATCCAATTGGAGAGGTTTAACTCCCTCGCGGACTTCACGGAACGATGCTGTGAAGATGGAGACCTCCGTTTACTCTGGTGAAGGAAAAGAACGCTTGTTGCTGTCGCGTTGGATTTAAGAGGTTGACATCGCTGTCGCCGCGAGACTTCTCGACGCTACTCAAACGAAGGTCAACTTCCTCCTTTCCCGTCTCACTGGGAAAGCCAAGGAGTGGGTTCTGGGTAAACTCGTTGCTGACGAGTATTCGTTCCCCGCTCTGAAAGCTATCCAGAGTGATCTTCGACTCGCCTTACAGCCGCCACAAGAAGAGAAGTTAGTGCATTCAAGGTTGCTGTCCTTGCTACAGGGTAAGATGTCCATGCGCGACTACGTGCAGATGGCTCGACATCTGGCGTCGTGCATTGTCACGCATCCCATGGACATGTACACACAAGTAAACGTGCTTGTCTATGACATGTGTGAAGGGCAGACTCGCCTATCGCTGGAACGCGCGAAGCCTGCCACGTTGAAGAAGGCTTTCGCTACCGCCCTCCGTGAGGACTTCAGAATCACCAAGGCCTGTACCAAGCCTTCAGTTGTTGCCGCTGTCAAATCAACAGGTTCGAAACCTATGGAGATCGATGCGATTGAGTAGTCGGGTGACCGACGGCGCGCTACGTTCTACAAGGGCGACGTCCGTAGCGAACGTCAGATGATCTAATTTCGATGCCGAAAGCCGGAACATCGCGCGGCTGAATGCCGGGCGCCAGTACCGATGTCGGTACACGCGACGGAAACACATCATGAGGGAGGTGCTCCACTAGCTCGTCCAAAAAACGGACGAGACCAGTAGGTGCAGGGCGCCCTACTGGTTTAAAAGGAGGGGTGGGTCCACCGGTGGCAGCCCGACCTCCCAGCCCATCTGTGCTGCGTGCACGGTCAAATGCCACCACTGCGATATGTTATTCACGACTGATTTTTTATATTCTATACGTCGCCGGTATCCGGCGACCTCTACGAGCGCTTCTGGATTCAGGAGCGACAAACAACTTCTTCCGTGAATTTTGCGTGTCAATGCTGCCACCCAGCATCCAGGTCCACGGGGGAACTGGCCAAAATGTTGTCAAGCTCGCTGAGGGGAAGCCACGCCGCGTATCGCGGCGCGAAGTGTCCTTAACGTACACGTTTAACGGCTTTCGCAGGAGCGACCATTTCTTAGTGATTTTGATGAATCATGCATTCCATTGCATCCTGAGCATGCCATGGTTGGCACGCTATAAGCCCCAGATCGACTGGTTAGCAAGATCAGTGAGACGTCGAAGCAATTTCGACGTCAGCGAAGTGTTCACCCATCTCTTGGTGTTTCCAAGCGATTGGTCGACCGTTACAGTCGTGGATCGTACATCCACGACATCGGCGGTACACAGAGTGAGCGATGGCCCTATCTGTAACGCTTGTTCCGTGCCACTACGCACGAGTGACAGTATCTCCTCCCTTTGCAGCAGGGAGTCCGTCGTGGACGAGCAGTGGCTCCCGCGCGAAGACGACGCGGTCGAACAGAGGTTCCCGCACTGGAGAGCATTGGTTGAACACAAACAAGTGTTCCCACCTGCACCCACTATGGTCGAGCAAAGGCTCCCAGGAGGGCAAGATGTGGCCGATCAGGGGCTCGCCACCGAGTGTGACGTGGATGGACAAGACTCCCCACGTGCGAACATGATGGTAGAACAGAGGTTCTCATCATCACCCACTGTGGTCGAACAGAGGTTCCCACATGAGCAAGACGTGGTCGAGCAGGGGCTCCCACACGAGATTGTGGCGGTCGAGCAGGGGCTCCCGCATCATGCGTCGACGGACGAGTATAGACTACTCCCGTCGCGCAGTTTTGACGTCCTGGATGACGACATCCAGCGTCTAGAGGAAGTGCAGTTTTAACACTTGACTGCGGCTCGACAGCTTCGAGCAAGGACTCGAAGCACGATGGGGACGCAAGCTACGAGAACTCAGCGTTGGAATGTGTCCACGCTATTGTGTACGTGGACGTGAGTCCACAAAGGCGCCAATACATTGGACCGACCCGTCGTCAATTACGAGCCTTCCAGGACTCTCCTGGAAGCATTTTTACGTGACCTCAAGGTAGGCACGGTGGAGCCAGTATGTCTAGTCACCAACGAGGTGACCTATGAGCCGAATGAGGAGCGAATGCTGCGCCCTCGAAGCGCGGAACAAAAGTCAGCGCGCGAAGAAAGATTTGCGTCGCAATCTTGGGAGGCTCAGGGTGAGTCTGGTATTCTGTCTACGACATTGCTCGAGAATACGCCGACGTGTTCCCGTACAAGATTCCGGCTGAACTCCCTGCCGATCGTGGCGTGCGGCACGAGATTGATCTCGTGCCAAATTTTAAATATTGTGTGACACGCCAGTGGCCTTTGCCTCGAGACCAAGTCGAGGATATTGATGCATTCTTTGAAAGTCATCTCTAGGCCGGTCATGTGCGTGAGAGTGTCTCACCACATTCGAGTCCTACCTTCTGCGTGAAGAAGGCTACGGAATGCTGGCGTATAGTGTATGCGTTTAACAAGCTAAACGATGCCACTAATCCTGCCCAAACGCACATTTCCAGGAAAGACACGGTTCTAAACTCCATGTCAGGTATAGTCATCTTCAGCGTCATCGATCTGACTGATGACCTATACCAGATCTTGATGCGACAGAGTGAGAAACCATTCACTGCGTTGAGAATCCCATGTGGTATGCTTTAGGAGTGGCTGGTGATGCCACAAGGATTGAAGAACGCACCAGCCTTATCCAATCGCGTGATATCTCAAGTGTTGAGGCAGATTCGAGACTTTGCTTCTAGCAACTTCGATGACATTTTATGTCCACAGTCACGCTGAGGGCAACCTCAGTGCTGTCCAAGTTCACCTTCAACACCTGAAGCAGGTGTACCAAGTTATGCGGGGCTAGAAGTTGTATGCAAACTTGAAGAAGTGTGTATTGTGTGCACCGAAGATTCCGGTTCTGGGCTGCTACGTGAGTAAATCGGGAGTTCGAGCTGATCCCAACAACGTGTCGTCAATCTGTTCTTAAACCACACCCAAGAATCCTACGGAGTTTCGTCAATGGCTCGGTTTAGCTAATTACTTGCATAAGTACACAAAGGATTACGCCGGATCTATACAGCCTCTGTCGTCACTTCTGAAGAAAGACGCCACGTGGTCGTGGCGTCCCGAACATCAAGCTGCCTCTGACTCAGTGAAGAAAAGCCTGGCGTCGGCGCCAGTGTTGATACTCCCTGACGACATTAAGCCGTTTCACGTGGTGTGTGATGCAAGTGACTTTGCAATTGGATGCGCCCTCATGCAGTTTGATCATGAGGGCCGTGAAAGAGTCGTGAGTTACCAATTACGACAGTTGAATCCGGCGAGGAAGAACCATCCAGTCCACAAAATAAGGAGGTAATAGCTATGCGCTACGCACTCATCAAGTTTCGTGTCCACCTAATGGGCGAACGCACGTTCGCCCTGCATACTGGTCATGTATCACTGCAAACAGCGATGAAGAGCCCACATCTGTCACAACGGATTCACGGTGGCTCTCTTTCTTCTCCGAGTACAACTTCGTCGTGCACTACGATCCAGGCAAGACTAACATTCTTGCTGACGCACTGTCACGACATCCAGATTACAATCCATGTATGGCACTGAGTCGTCAGGAAACCGACGACGACGATGACGACGATCGATGTGCGACGTGTGTGTCGTTAAATCTAACTCGTGTCACAACCGAGTTGTGCTTTTCGCTGAAATTGTCGCGGCTTACGCGAACGATCCGAATTACGCGGAAATTATTGCCTATCTGCGCGCTCCCAGTGATGCTGCACTAGGAGCTCTTTCGCGAACAAAGCGTGAACACATTCAACGAAACAGTATCGATGGTGATTTGCTGTTATGAAGCATCGATAGATTGAATGCACCTCGAACGGTGATTGAGATTGACTTGGATTTGCGTGCTCGTATTAGCCACGAGTACCATGATGCCCCAATTGGCGGTTATCTGGGCCGCAAAAAGACATTCGCGGCTGTCTCACGTAACTTCTTCTGGCCCCATTTGTACAAGTGGGTTCGCGACTGGGTTCGCACCTGCTAAATCTGTCAGCGCGTGAATCCATCTCCATCGTCGCAGGCACTCTTGCGACCCCTGCCAATTGTAGCTGAGGCTTGGCGCTCACTTTCAATGGACTTTATCTTCGGGCTTGCACCCGATGGCCAACATCGAACAGGTACTCTGGTCTTTGTGGACAGATTCGGCAAAATGACACATCTGGTGCCAGTTTATGCAACGATCACCGCGGCTGATACCGCGGTGCACTTCATTGACACTGTGTTTCGCCATCACGGTCTACCAGAAAACATTGTCTCGGACCGTGATACTCGTTTCACATCTGCTTTTTGGACGTCAATGATCGGTTTTTTGGCCCAAAGCTGCAAATGTCTACAGCAGACCATCCGGAAACGACGGGGCAAACTGAGAGGGTTTATCGGGTCCTTGAAGATGTTTTTCGAAGTTACAGAACTTCCTTTGGGAGTTGAAGTGAATTTAGGCCACTCACGGAGTTTGCACTCGACACCGCGGTTCACGCGTCAACGGGTTTGACGCCATTTTGCAAATTCGCCCCGTCATCGTCGTGTACATACTCATCGTGCCGTGGGTCAACCCACGGCTCTTCGTGGCTCCACTCTGGCGGGGGGTGATAGTGGTCATTAACGATCGAGTGCAGCTTACGGTATTCTGAGCGCGAATGTTGTCACCCAATCCAAGGTGAAGACTTCTGTTTTTACGCTACGTGACGTGGCGTCCCCGCTAGCTCAATGGATTGCATAGACGCTGATTGACCCTTCTTCGGTTATGCGAAGACCTCAAGCCATCTAAGCACCGATTGAATCGGCGCGACGAATTGATGACATGGCTGGGTCAGAATTAATACTCCAACGTAAAGCCATCACGAGGTTTGTACGCGATGCTCTTCGATCTGCAGTGGATAAACAGAAAGCGAAAGCAGATAAACGTGGCAGAAAGAACATGAGCACATTAAAGAAGGGTGATCGTGTATTGTTATCTACTGAAGGCCTACGAGAATCAGCAGTAACCAATCTCGGCGCGAGCAAACTCGCGCCACGTTCCATCGGACCATTCACGGTACTCAAGGCGATCGGCGACGCATACACGCTGGACATCCCATCGTCACTGCGACTTCACCCGACATTTTACGTCGGGCGGCTCAAGAAGAATCGTCCAGCTACGCTTCACGGGTTGGCTCCGTCCTCGAAGTCAAAGGCTCATAGGTCGACCTTCCGTCTTGCCTTGCTCGACGCGCCAGCGACGTCGGACGCGGCTGCGTACCAGCCTGTGCGAGCCCAAGAACATAGCGTTCCAGGTTCCGCATCCGTTCAAGCAGCTCGCGGTTCGACTGTGGAATCTCACTGGCTGTTCTCTCAGCCCGCGCATCTCGATCAAGGTCAGCTTCAGCTTTCAGCTGGGCATCGACGGCCTTGTTCAGAGCCGCGTCTACATCGCCTTATGCAACCAGGACGCCATCAGTACCATCGCGAGGGCCCACCACCGCTTATGGATGCGGAAGGTCAGAAGAGCTGGATCGTGAAACGCTTGTTGGGTCACGAGGACCCTCGTCGCGAAACGAAATTGACGCGACTCCATGAGCGCGCGATTAAAACCGCGCGCAAGTATCGTGTGCGTGGCTCGATTATCCACCCGAGGAGGATACGTGGGGGCCGCGCTCTTCGCTTCTTCGAGACGTTCCAGACGTCGTTCGGGTTTACGAGTCCGTGCATACGCTTGGTTCAGATCTGGTCGACGACCTGAGTGTTCTCGCGGTGAGCGAGAACGAGACGAACAACGACTGTGTCGTGGTGAAGCGTCACCACGACCACGAGGCCAAGAGAGATTGATAGAACGTATTGGTGAAGCGTCACTGCGACGACTAGATGAAGAACGACGACGAGAAGGTAGTGTTGAACGTGTATCGACACGACCACGCGAATGAGAACGTCGTGGCGAGCGCGTGGCACCACGACCTCGAGAACGCGAGTTGTGTTGCCAGCGTGAAGCGCCACGATTAACCGCGGTCTTGCGCTCCATCAAGCTGCGCTCATACCGTCCGATCCAGAGCTGATCATATTCGCTGAGTGAATACTCAGCGACGTGTCGTTGCCAAGTTTCGCGGGTTCGACGAGGTATCGAGTCAAAAGAGTAACAAAATTCGTGCACGTGAACGTAGCAGAGTCGATCGACGTTCCACGCGTTCTCGCATATCTCCTCGCGCAGTATACCAATTGAGTGATCGGCGTGGATATTTTCGCGGCTGGCAAGCCACTGCTGAAAGTTTCTTCCGTCTTCGAGCATCCGGTTCCTCCGTCGGATGAATGCACACCAAGACCGCTGGAGTGACTCGTACGAGATACCATCAAGACTCTTCCCACGAAATCCATGGAAACGCCGAAAGTAATCATGCATCGTCTCAAGAGATTCCGGAGCTCGAGCTCCGGACAAGTCGTACAGCGCTTAAGGGATCAGGTGCTGATCTATCACGTGGTCAATAGAACTTCCGCTGACACTGCGCGGGAGTGCTGTGGTGTTGGCGTTTGCGTCTTCAGTCATCGTTTGGCTTGTGCGTCCGTTGGGTGTTGTAGTTGAGCACTAACGGTTCGTGATTGCTGTATTGAGAAGGGGGTGATGTAATGGGCCGCCCCGTTACGTAGGTAGTTTCGACTAAGTTTACATTTTACTTAAGTAGGGGTGTTACTTTCGAAGTAGCGAAAGTAGCACATCAAATTTTTTTGCTGATTTAATGGGCTCAGTACCATTATTAGCCAGTAAGATATAGGCACGTAGATTGAGTGGCTCCCATGAGTCCAAGGGAACCATTCGTACTCAGGATGATTAAAAGACAAAATATGAAACAGAGTTAAAAGTACTAAATACCAAAGACTTGGGCTTTGATGCTTCCTCAGAGCGTAGAATAAAGTAAGCTAAGTACGGGTTGTTCTAGCCCCGTTACACAGGCTAACTCGTCAATATATCGTCCGACGAAGCTACAGGAAACAGGAGGTCCCGAACCGATGGACCTCTGTTACATCGAGGGCGAGAACTCTCGATCCCTGAGTCACAAGCATAAGGCAAGATGCCATCGCTGTCAGAAGATTGGACACTACGCTCATGAGTGTAGTGTCCCGAGCACCGCAACACGTCCAAAGACAGGACGTGATGACCACCGTTGGTCAAGGAAAGGTCCAAGGCGTGGGTCCAACCATGTCGCCTAGTCGCGACAGCAAGTCTGACCGTCAAAAAGTGGTCAGGGTCAGTAGGGGCGGAGCACCCTGCTGATCTAGCAACGTCAATAGAATTTGCAGGACTCTTGACGAAGGTTGCTCCCAACACACAGTCGCTGTGTGTTACTGCCCCTAGTGATGAGGAGTCCCTCATCACTTTGAAGATCGAAGTGACAAGTGGAATGTCACTTCTCGCCCTAGTTGACTGTGGGTCGTCGAACTGTTTTTTTCGATGCCAGTCGCTAGAGGATAGTAGTCTCACCTATGTTGAGCGAGAATTCCCTCCAACGAGTGTGACGGTGTGCCTTGCTACAGGCGCAATCGTAACAGTGAACAAACGTGTAGTGGGAATCCACTACGTGCTAGAACGAAAGCAGTACGATGATGACTTTATCGTACTGGATTCGATGACAAATTTGATGTCATCCTTGGTCTGACATGGCTTAGAAAGTACTAGTCACGGCTTGTCTGGCAGCATCGATACGTGAAGATGCCTGCCGTTTGTTCATCGGATGGCCATCTGATGAACGTGTTGGAACGTTTACAACCGTTTGGATGACTACGAGTGAGTGCGATGGCCTCAATTGTGGTACGGTTGTTAGTATGACTGCACAAGATCACAGTGTAGGAGGCCACTACACTGTGGAACCAGCTTCCGACATCTGTGTAGAGACACAGGCTGCGCCGAAGGTTCACCACTCGAAGAGATAGAGTGGACTGGAACACGGATGCACACCAAGAATGGTGCATTCTAGAAGCGAGACCAGTGTTGTTCAGGATGAACAACACGTTGAAACGAGATCGACTACCAGAGATTCGATCTTATAGCAAGCCCGATCGACTGAAAGAGAGTCGATCAAAGAAGATGTGACTGTGGTACTACACCCACAGTCAGTACACGTAACGGAAGAAAAATCCAGCATTCCTGAGAGCGGTAACTCCCGAGAGAGTTTTGTTGAGGGTGTGGATCCCCAACCTTCGCGGGTGTTTTTTTTTCAGGGAATCACCGAGACAGTGAATGTCTTGGTGAATGACGGATCATGTGTAGGCGCTTATTCACTTGATCTGGTTACAACTATAAGTCAGCTTCGGAGGTAGTCAAGTTGCTAACGCTAGAACCCAAAAGATTGTTGCAAAATTTGCTTGGTGATAAGATCAAGAAGATCTGCGTACCCGTCACAGAGGACGAGTACGTCGCCGGTATTCGGTCGGCACAAGTGTTCGCTGAGAATGAATGGGTTCTCAGTATCTCATCGATGGACACTCTCGTCCATCGACGAGAAGACCCGATTTGAGCGATACACGTCTCAATCTTGGGAGTCTTTAAAGACAAATCCTTTGCATAAGGATTTGGTTAAATTGAGGGATGATTCCCTGAATCCGTGCCATGCGAGCTGCCCTAGGACAATTGCACTGGGCATGAGATCGAACTGAAACCCAGTTCAAAATACCGTGCCATGAAGCAGTGGCCACTGCCTCATGAACAGGTAACAGCGATCGATAAATTCTTTGCCGATCGTTCAGCGGCTGGTCATGTGAGGGAGTCGACATCCCCACACAGCTCTCCGACCTTATGTATTCGAAAGGCCACAGGAGGGTGGCGGATAGTGCACGCGTTCAACAAACTGAATGCTGCAACGGTACCGGCTCAAACGCCGGTCCAAAGGAAGGACGCCATCATAGATGGTATGGCAAAAAGTACCATCTTTTCGTCCATGGATCTGATGGATGGATTCTATCAGATCCTCATGCGTAAACGGGACATCCCGTACACAGCAGTGAGCACTCCCAGCGGTATGCTCTGGGTTGGCTAGTGATGCCACAGGGGCTAAGTAACGCCCCCGCAACGTTTGACAGATGTGTTACGAATCTGTTGCGATCGGTGCGCGATTTCGCACCGAGTCACTTTGACGATGTCTTCGTACACAGCCGGGCTATGGATGGAAAGACAGACGTGGATGTTCATAGAATCCACGTCCGGAAGGTTCTTACATTAATTCGAGAGCATAAGCTGTTCGTGAACCTCAGGAAGTGTATATTCACAGTGAACGAAATACCACTTATTAGCTGAATCGTGGGTAAAGTTGGTGTTTTCGACCTGATCCGGAAACGATCAAGGTGATTAGTGACTGGCCTGTGCCAGTCGACGTCAAGGGACTCGAATGTTTCTTGGTTTAGCGGCGTACTTGCACAAGTACTCGCGCAACTACGCCGAGATGACCGTACATCTCTCTCGTCTGCTAAAGAAAAACAAGAGGTGGTCATGGAGTGCTGAGTGTCAGCACTCCTTTAAAGGTATCAAGAAAAGCTTGATACAATCGCCTGTGTTGGCGGTTGCAGACCAGGACAGACCATTCCATGTGGTCTGTGACGCCAGGGATTTCGCAATCGGCTGAGCGTTAATGCAGTACAACTCAGACGGCGTTGAGCGCGTCGTCTGTCATCAATCGCGTCAGCTGCACGCAGCTGAGCGTAATACCTGGTGCATGAAAAGGAACTCCTTGTCATGAAATATGCTTTGGCTAAGTTTCGGGCATATCTCTTAGGAGATAGCCCTTCATCGTTTATACCGACCATGCGTCGTTACACATGGCCGTAAACAGTCCACACCTCTTGCAACGAATGGCGAGGTGGCTGTCTTTCTTCGCGGAGTACAACTTCTACGTCTGCCCGATTTCGAGCCGACTGCTCAACCCAACAATCGGGATGATCCCACTGTAGCAACACTAACAGTGAGTGTTCCGTCGTCGAATCTGCTTGACGATGTGCGAAACGCATACACAGTAGATGGGTCACTTCTGAGGTTGATGTATTACGTGTCCAATCCATGCAGTCTAGCTTTGAAAAGCTTGTCGTCTCAATACCGCTCTTCAACCAAACGGTATTCGGTTCGTGATGGACTGCTGTACTATACAGCAGCCAACGGCGACACACCTCGTGTCGTCGTTCCCGCTCATAATAATTTGCGATTGCGCATCATGTATGAGTGTCACGATGCTCCAACAAGTGGGCATCGCGGTAGAGAAAAGACTTACCTCACGGTGAGTCTTGACTTCTACTGGCCCCGCCAGTATGAGTTTGTGCACAAATACATTCGCGCTTGCGAATTTTGTCAACGGGTGAAGCCTAGTCCTTCATTCCGCGCACCCTTGCAGCTTCTACCAATTCCGGCGGAGTCTTGGCAGTCCGTATCGATGGACTTCGTCTTTGGGTTTCCTAAAAGACGTTCACAAGAATACTGGTATTCTTGTGTTTTTTAATCTGCTCGGCAAGATGGTACATCTTGTTGCTGTACCGGAGTCAATAACAGACCAGGGCTGTGCGCGTGTCTTCATCAATACTATCTCCCGACTTCACGGGTAACCCCGTGAACTCGTGTCTGACAGGTACCCCCGCTTCACAGCGGAGTTCTGGCAATCCGTGTTCCGTTCACTTAAAACACGTTTGTAGATGACAACTTCTGACCATCCTGAAACAGATGGTCATACAGAACGCCTCAACCGCGTCCTCGAAGAGATACTTCGAGGGTACGTCCAATCGTTTACGAGTTGGAGTGAGTTCTTTCCCATGGCGGAATTTGTCATCAACAACTCGGTGCATGCGTCGACAACGCATACACCGTTCTTCGTGAATGGCCTCAGTCATCCACGTTTACCCGCCTTCTTAGAGTGTGACTCTAGTTTAAGGGGGGGGTAGACTCGCTCGAACAAAAAACGATCTGATTCTTGCTCATCACCCGTCGATAATGGTGTCGACGTGATGGATGCCGATGTCGATGGGATCGATGTCGATGATGACGATGACGACGACGACGATGCTGGCATATTTAGCATCGCCAATTACCGCCAAAGTGAGGACGATGATACCTTAACTGGTGGAGACAACGTTCTTTTAGCAGTGCAAACGAAGCGCACTGCTGTTGACAAGGATTAATCAGCAGAGGAATTTCTGCTGACTCGCGTAGCGGGTGTCCGCTTCGCTCAAGATTCTATTGCAGATGCGTTAGGTAGACAGAAACAAAATGCAGACAAACATGGAAGAGCAAACTTTCTTTCATTTGATGAAGGAGATTTAGTTTTACGGTCTACAGTAAATAGACCGAAACACGCAGTGACACAGTTGGGCAGCAGTAAATTAAAGCCCAGGTACATCGGTCCATTTCGTGTGTTGCAACGAATGGGTAACGCATACACGATTAAACTGCCGCTTAAGATGCATACGCATCCTACGTTTTGCGTTGGTCGTCTCCGACCGTACTATCAGTACGAGCCCGTTTCGAGATGCAAATAACACCTATAAGGCCGAGAGCCGAGACCACCTTCGAGTGGTCCCGTTTCAACTGGCCAGTCTGGTCGACTAGCGAAGAGACCTGCTCACGCAGTTGAGCGATGTCTCGACGAGCTGGCTGCATCTCGTCACGAAGAGAACGAGTCGAACGTTAGTTCTTAAGCTGTGCGAACGCAAACGCGGCACGATCGTCCAAATAATCGTGCGCTAAGGAATTGTAAAAATCCCTCACAAGATCCTAAAGATCATAACGCCGAGTCCGTTCATGAGCCAGGTCGTCTTGCAACTGTTCCTCTACACGGTTCAGCTCCTGAACATCAAGCTGATCCACCCTCGAGCCGAATCAGGTGCTCCCGCCGCCGCCACATCCTTTGGTGGACTCAAGCGGTGGTGAACGCTTTCTAGTGGAGCGTATTTTGAACCACCGCGATGTGAATGGCGTCTGGACGAGTTACCTCGTCCGCTGGCGTGGCCATCCACCGGCGTGGGACAGCTGGAAGCCTCGTGCCCAGCGGATTGTTTATGTTCATGGTCTCGTCACGCTGTTTGACGAGACCCACCCGCTGCGTTCGAAGAAGGGCCGTCGGAAAACAACCTCCCCTAACACGAGTACAGGGATTGCAAGGTGTCAATCCCTTTGGCCATCTCGGAGGAGATGCGTGCCCTCCAATAGGGATCATTAGGGAGGAAGGCCTTCCTAGAGGCACGGTTCGAGTCGTCTAGGCAACCTGGATACGATCACCCCACGAGAGACAGGGTGATCCTGCCTCTCTTGACAGCCAGCGCAACTTGTATCGCGCCCCGACTGGGTTACGTTCCTCAAACCTGATGCGAGCTGCAACAAGTTTGGCGAGCCAGGCCTCACGGCTAATGCACTCGATGTAATGGATGAGGGCGTTCCATCCTTGTACCAAGGCCTTTCCGTCTCAAACACGGCTGCCATTGTATTACCGATGTTTGAAAAACGCATCGGTGAAGAATTCTTCCTCAGCACGGATAGTTCCCGTGCTGGAATCAGGAGGACAGATCCTCCTATAGTCGGAGAACAGGATTCGATCCCGTTCGGTGGTCATGGCGGCCAAACGTTCCAACCCCTTGGATGACGGCATCCAAGGAGACTCCACTTGAGGAGCGTAGCGCAGGACATTTCGGTCCCTGGCCTCTTGATTGGCGTCAGCATGAGCATGACACCAGTGACACCCCGGTCCCTCGAGTTACTTCGCTCGTGAAGATGTATAGGTGCATCACCACCATACCCACGCGTCCTATCGTTGGATGGACTTGCGTGAGGCGAGGATTCGTCGGAACGATCGTTCGATCCGAAGATCTCGGACATGATACCGCCGCGTTGACCAGAGCCAGCCAACCTATCTCTTGCAGTGTCCGTCCCAAGTGATCCGGAGGCGTGATGTGTCGCCTTCGAGTCGGATACATCATCCGACTCGCCAGAATAGATGAGCTCCATGTCAGACTCGTCTATATTACGATTCGCGATATCCGCTGCAGATGCAGAGGATGTACCTGTCGCACGTGTTGACTCACCACGTGGACTGTTAAAAACAACAGGCGACGAATCACATACTGCTGAGGCGCGAGATGAACTGTCTCTGTCTGCACACATGCGTGCAGCCGCCTTTCTTGCTTCTGCAGTAGCAACCCGCTTGATCTTCGAAACCATGTGTTGGATTGGCAAATGAATGGAATTTGACCGACAAGCGCTCCCTTTCCCAGAGTGATCCAACGAGGCTTACCCTGTCCCAATCAATTCTAGTTCAACTAACGGGTGATCGATGGTTAGGGGGGGGTGATGTAACGAGGTAGCCCGTTGCATCATTTTGACTACAAACGGTGTCAGCAAGGATTTTGTCTAGTATGACAATATTCTACCGATATTATCCAAGATAGATAAGATTGAAAGAATGTTATTCCCTTTCGAATAAAATTTATTCGCTGCTCAAAGATTGGTTGATAAAAGACACATCAACCAATGGTTACTACCAATCGCTGCTAGACGCGCGCAATGAGTGGTGAGCAGGTTTTAGTCGTACGACGACGTGGTTTAATTGAGTTAGATAAAGAGTAAAGTTTTATTGATAGCTTAACTATATTTAATCCAGTTCTCTCTTACCCTTTACTCAGCTTAGTCATTAAGTAGATTAGCTTCCTCTGCACGCACTAGTGCACGTGAAGTTTCGTGGTACCCAAATATGGGGTGCCCCGTAACATTAAGGTCTTTATGGGAGAGGCGACTGATCGGCTTGCTGATGTCATCCCTTCTACGGTTCGCAAACAGTTTAGCGCGTTCCTAACAACATTGTTAAATGTCTTATAACGTGTGATCTATAAAATGGCTGATAGCCAAGACGAAGAATCCGAACCATCGGACACATGAGGCAGACCTGAGATGAAAGAAAAGGTTCGGTTAAAATGTTTAAATAAACGCTTTGATTTATCTACGAATCCAGTTTATGCTGTGTTTGAGACGAAGCTGCATTCTCGCTTCATGGAACCGTTTACGAATGTGTCCAAGAAGTATCTTGTGCATACGCTCACCTGAACGCGCAAATGAGCCCCTCCGTGTTTTCGACGACTTCTTAAAGCCGTGTCAAATTACGTTCCAGGTTGATAGAAAGGCGTTTGCGCCGCAAAGTTGACATTGCCCAGGTTGCTGCAGCCAAATCAGAAGATCATGCTACGTATCCTTGCGCGCCTGACCCTTATCAAGTGTTAACAGACTAGCCTTAACCGCGCCAATCGTGCGCTACGCCGGAGTCAAATGCTCTCAATGTCTATCAACCTCGTGAAACAAAGCCGCATGGGCTGCAGCCGACACACCGACTGTAAACAGCAATGCTTGATGATTTGGAAAACGTCCAGATCCAAGTAAGTAGGTCAAAGCAATGACTTCGTCTCAGTTAAACCATAATAGTATTTGGTGAATTGGCGGGAGCCTAAAAATTTAAAAGATTGTGAGCACGAGAATCTTCTTTGACAAAAATCTAATGTCGAGGGTGTTTTGAGGGCCATGGTCGGTGTCAACTTGTGACCATTTACGCTTCTCACCAGCGATGGGAGAATCAATCAGATCCACCGCCGGATGCCGATATGGACTTGAGCTATCGCCACAGCCGCATCGTATTGTGTGTGGAACATCTCCCGCAACTAATCTATGAATCTCGATTCGGCGAAGTGATAACGGAGTCCTCGATCAAGATGTACGTCAGCCTTGTCGTCGCTTGTGCATTCATGATGCCCAAGCGTCGTGCTCTATGCATCTAGCGCTTATACGCAATGCCTTCTTCGGTGGCAACCTTTCCTTCGTCTAGAAGCGCGGGTCTCCTCTTATAGGCGGAACTGGCACGCCTTGAGCTTGCCTTAAAAATCCAGACTTGCGTTGACTTATGTTTTTTTGTTTTTTTAAAAATGGCACTAGGTTTATCACACACAACACCCTTCCCGCTTCGACCTCTTCGGGTGTAGCGGCTGCCGGATCAACGATCCATAGTACTAAATCCTGGCCTAGGTTCTGTCGGAGACGTTCCTGTAAACTTAGAGGCGCAAACACACAGTAATTGTGACTTTTGAGTGGCGCCATGATCTGAGAACTGCGCTAAAAACTTCCCGTTGTAAGAGCACCTGCTCTTGTGTCTTATCTAGTGGATTTTTGATGATCGCTGAAACCGTGTCTGGTGTCACTAGCAGATAATTTAGCGCATCCACAGCTCGTGCTTAAAACGGATTGGGTGCCTGCTTCGACATGTACCCATGCACTTATGTGCTGGCTTTGAATTCGACATCACTGCGATACATCACTTCTTCTTCTTCGGTGTCGAGGAGATATGAAAGATTCGTAGATTCGTTTGGCGCTGCCATATATAAACGCATTAAACAAACCTGAGGTTGATTGTTTTTGTATAGCTTCGATAAGGTAATAAATTATTTGTCGCCATTGAGTAACATCAGTCTGCTGGGAGGGCTAACGGGTTAGCACGACCGTAATCGCCCAAAATGAATACACCTCGTAAGTGTAAAATTCAGTCCCAAAGTATTATCCATAATTATTGGTGTGATATATAACCTCAGTCATCCACTGATGGCATGTTGATGTACCATCCCTCTATCATTTTTATTGGGAGAGTAATATTGAAAATCAGACTGATCTTATTTTAGGTAATCAATTGAGGTTTGTTACCGATAAAGTTGAGCAAATAAAACCTGGCTTTTTTATTGGTATATGCGTGGTATGTGTCTGATTTAAACCTCAGTAGATCGCAAAGAGTACGAGCCTTCTGGCGACAGATGCTAGAAATTTTTTGTGTACAATTCTTGGAGTCTTTTTTCGTCCCTTATATTAGAGAAATATTTTCTAACAGCTTAAAGACTCTCTGATACTTTAAGCAAAGGTTTTAAACATTACTTATTATTTGTATTAGTAAACACTTAGTCTTATAAAACTAAGTGACTTCTAGAGTCGTCAGTCTTCCCCCGACTAAGAGATACGTGCTCCACTACAGCAAGTGTCAGACTGCTTCAAAATAGTAGATCGTCTAAGTTATCCTACGAGCATCTTATCGTCTCACGCAGTGTGTTTAAATATTCTTTTTACCCTGAGCAATAGCCACTAGTCGTAGTTTAGTTGTCAATTTGACTCTCATCTCATATCCTTAGATTTGTTCAGAATTTGGCTCATTCCCTCCACTTGCGTGTGAGTGAGTACCATCACCGTCGATATTCTTGGCTAACATACGGTTTAAGCTTTTTTCCTTTTTTTCTGCGGTAAAGCCTCTTCTTTCTGTTGTTTTCTCCAAATTGTGTCCAGATCACAATATCGAATATTTACTTGGGCCTGTTATTTGGGCGGTAGGCACTATTCGCGTTTATTGACAAGAGACTTATCTTCGTTGCGGGATAGAAGGTAAAAGCCATCATTTGTGTGCCATTATTCGTTAGGTTTTAAATTTGTTTCGAATTAGCGGCATTTAACATGGCTTGTTACAACAACTGTTCGCTTAACTTCTGTACATTTAAAACAGCAGGCAAAATTTTTCATAATAGACAAAAGTTATCAGCAACCGCGTATGAAGTTTTGCGCCAGCGAATACGTCGACGTATACTTGAAATGTACCAATCAATTCGACATAGGCCTTGCTTAGTAAGATAGATACCACGCCTACCATTCCGGTCCAGTATTCAACTTCTTCTGCCTCATGCAAGTCAGTCACAGTCTTTACGTATCGTTTCTGCATAATAGCGTACAATCGACTGTGTCCTCGACGAAGCACATTACGTTCCCGCTTATGCCTCGGCTTCGATGCCAACAACACTCAGGTACACATCATCTCGCTGTCAATGACCCCTGCAAAATGCCAATAACACCCAGGGACAGTCCCGAATCAAGTTCAATCGTCCTAACTTTTAATCTCACGAAAGAATCACTCATCTTTACTTCTAAAATCCTGGAGCTCTAGAAGATAACGATCAATTCATTTTGTCTGATCATTTAAAAATGCCCGTGCTCTGCACAATTTAGTAAACGTTTACTGGCTGCCCATCATTTAAGGAGTTTAGACAGATGAATAGATCGCTTTGCCAAATTTCTTCTTTCGTGCTGAACGGTAAATTCTTGCCAAGAGCACGTTACGCTGAGCTGTGCCACAGCATATTCAGGATATGGGCACCCAAATGTGTCCCGATATCGGACGTACACTAAATTACGCCGATAAATAGCAAATATCCTGCACAAAGTCTTGCAGGGACCGCTGCGCTTATCGCTAGCTAACGCAGCGCGCCTGAAGTATTACTGTATAATTTTGCGGCTGGTACGTGGGGCCAAATCTTCGTTCTAGGGATTGGCAACGAAAGAAGCTCTATACTGTCGGTCATAGGCGGTGACTAAGTCCATTCTAAGGCCTTACTAAGCGAATATGATATTGTGTACGATATCATTTGGGTATCGCCCTCACTAAGCTGCGCAACACCACATTGATCAACGGCTAGAAGCCAGTGCACAATGGTATAGACGTCACTGTCATCGATTTTGATAGGGTCCACTTAAAGAGGCCACGGCTATACAGACATGTCCAAGGGAGTATAAAGTTTGATGACCGCTCCGTAACGAGCCTATTACGCAGAATTTTGATGTGAGTCTTACTAGTGAAATCCGCTATGACACAGATTTGTGCCTTGGACGCGCATATTCGATGACCGAGCACGAACTTCTCGAATTAATCCGATTAAGAAATGTTTTACCATGGTAGATAACTCAACAAATTAGCCAGGAACTGGTCCATAAGTACCTGATCCATATGGAAGGCCACCTCCCTTAAATACAGAAAGAAATAGGAAATTGATTTTGATGAAAATTGATGCTCATTCTCACTGACACGCTAACATAGGGACGGGTCGTGGAAAGGACTACAAAGGCTTCCACTTGCAGGCGAATTCTTAAAGCTGGCATGCGTTACTTCTGGGCACACCTTCAGGCACCAGTAATTAAACAATTATATCGCCTTCATTCGAGTGCAGCCAGGTAAGAGTGGGTATCTTACGCTTTCCTCATCTATAGGAGAACGCTGCTGTCTCATGTGGCTCGGACGAGGCTTTTTAAGTCCTCTTACATACTTGTAACAATTACAGGGGAAATGTAGGGCTGATTTACATTTCAATATTAAAGTAAAT